TACATACACACACATATATACATAAACACACATACACATAAACACACATATGCATATACATACACATAAACACATATACACACATGTATCTAATGAATACATATACATACAAACACATAGCACATATACATAAATACACATAAACACACAGCGGTTATTTTGTAAAGGATTATTGTCATGAAATAAAGTCAAGGCACAGAATTTTGCAGTTCATTACATCCTCTTTGAAATCCTTCATGCCTTTATTCATATCTTCTTTGAGATCAATGAGCATATTTTTAAAAAAAAATCATTCTTTGTAATTCTTTGGAATTTCATCTGTATCACTGCTACTGGAGGCCATCAGTATGAGATCAATGATTTTTTTGGAGAAAAAAGTGTTGGCTTTTTATGTTGATAGGGTACTTATGCTGGGATTTTACTCATCCCGAGTTTATTGGTTAAGACTTTCTGAAAAGCATGGGTTCCATGAGCATCTGTTAGGGTGCTTGGCATTTCCTCTGCTCTGTGGGTCTTGGCTTGATTAAGCACTTCTAGAGAGACCCGGCGCTGATTCATGGCTGGAGCAGCGGTGGGTGATCTTGGCGTACTAGGGAGACAAGGCCTATGGATTCATAAGCCGCAATCACCACGGTGAGTGCACTGGGCGTGTGCATCCTCCGACCTCAAAGAGCGTGGTTCATACAGTGTTGTTGCATTAGGTGAAGGGGCTGGGGATCGTGCCTCCTCTAGAATCCAGGGTGTTTGAAGAGTGGTGTATGCGTGCAAGGTGTGTGTGTGTGGGGGGGGGGGGTTCTGTCTCTTCACTTGCTTGGTTGGGGAACGCTCGCAGTGGTAGGGGCGGATACTGCAGGAAGGGGAGGAGGGGTTTTCCTCTGGCTTCCCCGGCTGTGGTGTGTGGTGTGCAGGGGTGGAGGAAACTGTGGTTGGGGCTGGACACCTGAAATCTCTAACATGCCTGTCCAGGATGACCAAATCATTGGTTGAGAAGAAACCAGACGAAGAATATGTCACAAGCCCTCTCCCAAGTAGGACTTCCACAATACTGGCGGACTCCAAACAGGCTTTCTTGCCTACCCTCCTTCACATACACATCTTCCTTAGGCACATAGCGCTTGCCTGCTCTCTAGATCCAATTAGCATTTGGAGACTATAGAGAAACATGGTAACCTGCAACTCTTTGTGTCAAACATGGCTCCTGAAGGACTGAATCATAACTGGAAGCAGGATAGTTTTTCCAGGCCTGGAGACAGTCAGTGGATGCATGCTCCAGTTATTTCCATGAAGGAGCCAACTGATCTTGTTCTACTTTACCGATGGTGCATCTGCCAGCTCGATAACGATGTAAAAACTTGAATTCTAGTAAAATATTTCACAGTAGCTGCCATTGGAGCTACTTGCATACATTCCCTAGAGCCCACCAAGGCACATCGTGGCTTACCTAACTACTGCGGAGGACAAAACAGCACATCAGCATCCTTATGTTTCTTCAGACTTTGTTGGGAGCGCTACCTCTGAAATTCCTAAGTACAAACAGCATCAGAGCCTCATGGTCAGAACTTGGTAAAAGAATGACCCACAATGAACAATGCCTTGCTGAACTGTGAGAGAGGCTCCAGGAGAAAAGGCAGAGGGCCTTTTACAGCAGGCGCATTTTGTCCCCTGGATTGTTCTTGGACATGATTCTGTGCCTCCTGTGGCAAACATTTACACTCAGCTTCTAAGAGATGTTTATTCTCTTTGGATGTCAGATCATAGCTATAAAACCCAATCTGGTCAGTGTGCCCTGAATCTGGATATGGCCTTCTGCTTCGCTTTCATGCTTTCCCAGACATGATCTACAGTATGGGCCAGGCAATCATGTTTCAGTTGCTCTGTCCTGAGAAAGTTCTGGGAAATGGCTGCTCTGTTAAGTACGTGCTTACTGACATTCATTTACATGCTTGTCTGACCAGGTTTTCCTGAACTCAAACAACCTTACCGGAATCATTGCTGTCTTTGTTAAATTCATGTATAAAAGTACACTAAAACTGAAGTAAGATAGTCTACAGCATCTTACTATGGGTCCTCAGATCCCAGGTCCAGCAGACAAAATATCTTCACAGGTTGGCTGAAAAGTCCACACCTCACCATGGACGGGAGAAAACCTTCCGTACATCTTTCAAGTCTGGCTAGTAATGAAATCTCCCAAGTTCCTTGTAAGTGCAATCAGTAGCTGATTTCCTCCTTTGGACCAAAAGAGGTAGATTATTTCAGAAGCTTCCACCTGCCTCTTCCCAGCATCTTTAATCAGCGCAGATTAAAAACCATCTTATCTGTCCTAGAGCAGATGAACATCACTCATTCCCTGAAGGTTTTCACAAACCTTGCCGACATCCTTGTGAGACAGACTATAGCTAGCATGCATTTGCCACTTGGCCTCCACTTTGACTCAACATCAGTGTCAACTCAGCATCTGTGTCAAATGGCCCTTCATGACTTGGTAATTTGTTTTCCACAGAATAAGTCCTGTGCAAATAGTGTCAAGTGCCTTCAGAGACCAGCATTTGCTGAAAGTACTTGCAGTGTTGTAACAGTGTTCTTCATCAAGAGTCAAGGGTTCTGCTTCCCCCTCAAGGGAAGAGTTTGGGCATGAGGTTATTTTGCTGTGGAAATAGTTCCTTGGTTCTTCTGTTTGTTTTGTGGTTAGTCAAAGCAATCAACATGCTGAGACTGCACATCTGTCTTCACATTAAGAACATGCATTTTTCATGAGTCCACAGGCAATGGTAACCTGGTTTCTGCTCTAGCTTTAAGGCTGGCCATAACTGCATTCACCTTGCTCCTATTGGCAAACAGGGCTGCTCTTACCTGCAATCCTCTCACTAACTTCATCCCTAATTCCACGGTAACATCTGGGAAATGCTTCATTTTCATTCCCAGTGGACATATCTGCGGGCAGTGTACCATGCAAAAGGAACAGGAATTGCAAAGCACGAGGCTCGCCGTGCTTGACAGGGGATAAATGAACTCTGAAAATGTTGTTTGGATATGACCCATCAAGAACAAGTTACAGACCACGGGAAGGGCTTCAGATTTCAGTGAGACGGTAAGTCATTAAAGTGCTGTGAGCACAACAGCATCGGATCCTAAATTAGGTTCACTCCTGCTGCTGCCGCTGCTGAGCAGAATCAGGCTGTGCGGAAGTAAAAAGGATGGAAACCAGTTAAGTCTACAGAGATTGCCCAGGCGAGGCTGGGTGGACATTGACCCTCTTGTATTCTAGGTTTATACTACCATTTACCTTTTTTACTTATAACCTGTAACTCCTTAAGGGTAGGGCTCACTACTTATAAATTATGCATATGACCTACGCATATGCCCATTTAATAGGTGCTTGATAATGTTCCTTCAGTGGCCAACAGTAATAGGGATTTACTGCTACTGTTTCCTATTGTTGTGTCAGAATGACATCACTAAATGGGTTTTGTTACTCTCTTTAGGATTTTTTTTTTTTTTTAAGTTTCAGCATTCATACAAAATTGACCTAACCAAGCTAGTATTTTTAAAATGTCTAACTGGGCCCTTTTCCCCTCCCCACTTAAGAGTTTCACTCCCGACGCACAAATTGCAGAAATGCTTCTCTTTCTGCATAATTCTGGTGACATTTTAAAACTTTTTACATAACTGACTGGATTGTAACATTTCTGTTGACACTATGACACTTTTCACCTCACAAATACTGTATCGGTTATGGTAATCATAATTAACGTAATAATCCTTGTCGCCAAAATCATCTTGGCTTTCTTTCAAGACAGGGCTTCTCTGTGTAGCCTTGGTTGTCCTAGACTAGCTTTGTAGACCAGGCTGGCCTCGAACTAACAGCGCCTGCCTCTGTCACCCTGAGTCACCACTCAGGGATTAAAGATCAAAGGTGTGTGCCACCAAACCCGAACGCATTTTCCTCGTTGTATCGCTGTAATTGGGTGTAGCTCTCAATGTGGGGCAATTTATACTATTTGGAGACCAAATATAAATTTTATGATATTTGTCAGAACCCAAGCTAAGGATTTACGTTTCAAGCACTGAGTGGCCCCCGTCAACAGAATCCTGGCTAATTTCTGGCCAATTAGAAACCATTGTCACTGTAAGGGCATGTGACGTTGGCTCCCTATTTCTTCAGTCTATCTGGGCAGGAACAGCAGGAATAAGACTAGAGAACTGGGACAGGGACGGGTCTCGTTTCTTTGAAATCAAAAGATACAGGCAGGGGAGAAGGAACCTCAGGCTGTTAGATCCGGTTCGAACATTCTGAACTTGGCCTCCTTCACACGCCTCGGCTCTCCGTCACGGCTGTGAGCTCACCTAAGCCGTGGACCCCACAAGATGGATAGAGCTTGGATCCTGACCCAGCCTCAGAGCACGGAGCATGCGCGGGAGGTAGCGGCTACAGGCAGAGGGCGGGCGAAGGGGCGGGGCCTCGCCTGCGCACGCGCACAAAGACGCATAGGCGGAAGTGGCGCGCAGGGTCCGGCGGTGTGGAGACTTTCCGGGGAGGTGGCGGCGGCGGCGGCGGCGGCGGCGGCGGCGGCGGCGGCGGCGGCGGCGGCGGCGG